AACACACACACTCTCTAAAACACACACACATGGGACACACACACACACACACACACACACACTCTCTAAAACACACTCTAACACACACACTCTCTAAACACACTCTAAAACACACACACACACACACTCTCTAAAACAAACTAACACACTCACACACGCAAACACTGTCACGCTCACACACACACTCTCTAAAACACACTCTAACACACACACACACTCTCTAAACACACTCTAAAACACACACACACACAGGACACACACACACACACACACTCTCTAAAACACTCTAACACACTCACACATACACGCAAACACTGTCACACTCACACACACACACTCTAAAACATACTCTAACACACTCACACTCACACACGCACTCTAACACCCACACACACTCTAAAACACACACACACACACACACACACACACACTAGCACGCACACTAACTCAAACACACACACACACACACACTCTAACACCCACACACACTCTAAAACACACACACACACACACACACACACACACACACACACTAGCACGCACACTAACTCAAACACACACACACACACACACACGCAGTATGTACTAACAATAACAGATATTAAAAAATAAATTCTCAGATGTGTCATAATGTTTTCTCAAACGATTCTGCACTGAAATCCATCTTTGGAATTCGGAATGTTATTAAATAATTATGTTTATTGAACCGGCCGACACACAAGACATCAGAGAAACCATGATGAGCTAAACTGGCCAAACTAGAAATATTTCAAACACGAGACTAAAAATGAACGGGAACATTACAGGACAGACAATAATATGGCATTCATAATTTCATATTGCAACACTTTGTAACTGAACCGAAATCAAAACAAATCATTAGACACCTAAAGTTTTCCATCCATACTGTTCAGTTAGATGTTAGATTATATATTTTTTTTTACAGTAATTACCCAGAACCCCTTGCGGTGGCAGCAGTGAGCAGATCCTCTGGAAGTCAATATGGCAGATGTTCCTGTTTCTTAGTTATTGATGCTCATAGAAATTAATTTTCTCTCTCATGCAGGATCACCTTCATCAGAGTCAGATTAATACTCAATCTTATGAATTGTGGAGGACGCATCATCACGAATAACCTTCACTGCAGCTCATCATCAGCAATTTAAACAAGCTCGTGCTATAATTATGATGAAATGACTGATATTAATATGAGGTGAACGAGTCATTAAGACTCAACACTACTGTGGCCTGAACATTAAATATATATATACTGTATATTAGTTTGTCTAAAACACACTCTAACACACACACACACACTCTCTCTCTCTCTCTCTAAAACACACTCTAACACACACACACACACGCACTCTCTAAAACACACTCTAATACACACACACGCACACGTACTCTCTCTCTCTCTAAAACACACTCTAACACACAGACACACACACTCTCTCTAAAACACACTCTAACACACAGACACACACACACACACACTCTCTAAAACACACTCTAACACACACACACACACACTCTAACACAGAGACACAGAGACACACACACACACACAAGTGTTACAATATATTGCAATACAAAATTGCAACAATGTGTATCGTGTGTAGTGACAATATGTATTGATTTCAGTGTTTTAGTGTCAGAACTATTAAACTACTATATATAATGTTGAACATAAAGTATAATAAAGCAATGGGGGAATATGTGTGTGTCCTGATAATGTCTGATGTTACCAGTAAAAAGTGTCCGACATTATTTTAAATATATCTAGTCAGTGAAAGAGTTCAAGCATATTTGTCTAAAATAATTCAGTATTTTCAGCTTCAGAATCATGAATATTGTTATTCTGGTGTGTCTATTGTCTGTGCTTTGGGTTTCAGCACCAAGTCCAAGCCGATTCATTTACACACACAATGTAATATCAAATTTAGCATTTTAATCAACAGCTCATTTATCATATGTCTTGCATAAATATATTGAGTATTGCAATAATATTGTATCATGAATTCATCGAATCGTGACATGAGGGCATCATTACACCCCTAATATATATATATATATATATCATGTGAATAGACTGAGAAACCCCTGAATAAACACTCTGGACAGTGACGGTCACATGATCTTCTTCAGTGATGTCATTGGCACGAACTTTCTGAAACAGAGGCTGCTGGTTGTCACGGTAACAGTAACCTTCATCTCCGACCTGAGCGTCACGAGCACGTGTTGAAGCTCCAGAAGCAGAGTGACGAGGTGTTATATATAATATATAATATATGTGCTCCGGACAGTGACGAGTGTTGGAATACCTCTGAGTTTGAAGAGCTCCCCATTGGCCGAGCTGACGACGAACATGTGAGGCGCCTCGTCGCTCGTCGTCACGGAAGCACCAATCAGAGGCAGGGAACCCCGGGGCTTCAGGCTCCGCCCCTGCTCGTGCACGAAGTACTGCAGCTGACCCACATCAGGGTCCAACACGAAATAC